ATCTTGAAAAGCGACGAACAATGAGACGCCGTCCGTCGCTTTTTTGGAAATAAAAGTTTGAAAAATCCAAAAAAGCGACGAACTAAAGGACCCTGTCGGTTGCTTTTTTGGGTTTTTAAAAAAATAAAATTAAAAAAAAGCGACGGACTAAATGACCCTGTCCGTCGCTTTTCTGAGTTTTTCAAAAAATAAAATCCAGAAAAGCGACGGACAAAACCACCCTATCCGTCGCTTTTTCTACAATTTTTTTTACAGCAGAAACTGGCCTACCCATCTGCAAAAGCAATTCAATTCAGCCCCAATCAAACACAAAACATTATAAAGAAGCTACACAAAATATAAAACAACAAACTTAAATTAACATTCAAAAATATCTAAATCACAATTTAAAGACTTATAAAGTCTTTCAAAATTCGTTTCAAAATTACAAATAGTTCATAAAGACTATATTTTATCAAGATTTCTAAAGTTCAACCTAATAATTAGTTCATAAATTTTATAAATCAAGATTTCTAAAGTTCACAACCTAAAGCTCTAAAATCCTACAAAAATTCAAGTTCTCTAAAATTCACAACTTAAAATTCTAAAATCATATATCATATATATATATAAAAGAGAACCTTAGACTTGCCTATGTGGCGCCACCACAAACCAGAATTTTCTTTTCATTTATTTATTTCCAAAACTATCCTTCCCTTTTTATGAAAAGTTGTGACATTTATGAAAAGTTGTGACTTTTATGAAATGTTGCAACTTTAATGAAGAGTTACGACTTTTATGAAAAGTTTTGACTTTTATGAAAAGAAGAGTTGTGACTTTTATGAAAAGTTGTGACCTTTCCGAAGTGTTGCAACTTTTCCAAATAGTTCTAACTTTTTCGATAATGCACACTAAACATTTGTTGACACTACCCTTGTTGTCTATAAATAGAGGGATTTCCTCTCATTTTAAAACAACGAAAATTCTTAACCTCCTCTTCTTCTTCTTCACGATTAAATATTTGTGTACTTTGCTCCTGTTGAGTGGCTCACTGCACCATTGCTTATGTTACAGATCCTGGTATGTATTTTTACAGTCATTAATTTATGCTTATGTTATTAAGGGTAAATAATATGATGTAATCATTTTCATTTTCCTTTACATTACTAATGTTTGTTACTACGTAATCTTGTATGTAAGATAATATAGTGTTTTAGTTTTAATGACTGATAGGTTTTAAGTAATTTTATAAATTTGGCGATATTAAATTCCCGCGCGAAGCGCGGGTAATTTTACTAGTTCTACAATAATTCAAGACTTCTAACGTTTCACAACCTAAAGTTCCTACAAAAATTCAAGTTCTCTACAGTTAACAACTTAAAGTTCTAGAATCCTACAATAATTCAAGATTTCTAACGCTCACAACCTTATAAAGTTCTAAAATCCTACAAAAATTCAAGTTGTCTAAAGTTCACAAATTTAAGTTCTAAAATCCTACAAAGATTCAAGTTTTCTAAAATTCACAACTTTAAGTTCTAAAATCCTACAATAATTCAAGTTCTCTAAAGTTCACTACTTAAAGTTCTAAAATCCTACAAAGATTCAAGTTTTCTAAAATTCACAACTTTAAGTTCTAAAATCCTACAATAATTCAAGTTCTCTAAAGTTCACTACTTAAAGTTCTAAAATCCTACAAAGATTCAAGTTTTCTAAAATTCACAACTTTAAGTTCTAAAATCCTACAATAATTCAAGTTCTCTAAAGTTCACTACTTAAAGTTCTAAAATCCTACAAAGATTCAAGTTTTCTAAAATTCACAACTTTAAGTTCTAAAATCCTACAATAATTCAAGTTCTCTAAAGTTCACTACTTAAAGTTCTAAAATCCTACAAAGATTCAAGTTTTCTAAAATTCACAACTTTAAGTTCTAAAATCCTACAATAATTCAAGATTTCTAACGCTCCCAACCTTATAAAGTCT